AGTAGTAGTGATAAAATGACCACATGGAGACCATCCAAGCCGCCTGAAAAAGGTTGATCCAAGCTGAAAGGAAAACATGTTAATTAGGAAAGAGTTTGTTATTCCATCAAATTTAAAAATAAATAAATAAATAAAACTTACTGATTTTGCCCAGTGACCATCTGTCCTATGAGCAAGACTCCAATCACTGGTTCGCCAAATAATTACAGTTTTATCATCAGATTGACTCGCTATAAAAGAGCCAATAGGATCCCAGGCAACCCCCTTAACCAGGCTGGAGTGGCCCCTTAGAACAGCAGTGCAAATGCCATTGCTCATATTCCACACATGGATAGTATTGTCCAAACTCCCACTAGCCAATGCAGAATCATCAGGAGACCAATTAAGATCCACCTACTTTAAGCACAGAGAAAAGGATCCCAAGTTAATGATGATCATTGAATATGTAAAAGCATATGGTTAAGCAGCATGAAAATAAATGACTAAAACTTGAAATTATTTTTGAAAAAGACAAGAGATTGAAAAATAAAAGCAATATCATTACCACATCTGCAGTGTGCCCTCTCAAAGTCATTGCAACTTTCCAGTTTTCAATATCTGGGGGCTCTCCACTGCCAAATTCAGTGGTTCCTGAACCAGGCTTTCTCTCATGAATTAATATTGCCTGATCATCAGAACCTGATGCAACATACCTTCCATGTTTAGCCCACCTGACACAGTTAACAGATCCAAAGTGATCCCGCAGGGTTGCAAGAAGCCTCTGAGAAGAGGCATCATTTTCTATGTCAGTACTAACAGACTTCATATTCCATATGCGAACCTGCATAATACATATTTGAGAATGTGATATATGAAAATTAATTTAATTAAAGTAAAATTGAAAAAAACGACCCACTCAAATCCTAACCTAAAGGCCAAAAGTGGTATACAGCTAGTTTTCTTGGGCACATTGGGAGATCATTACTACAGTACACAGGATAGTTATGAAAACAAAGTAGGGGAAGAGAATCACGAAATTTCATCACAAGTTATATTTCTTATACATTTACCTGAACCTGACACACTAGGGACCATATTAACATCAGATCTTTAATATTTCTTACTTTTTATTATGAACAGTAATTCACCAAAAAGCACCAAGGAAACTTTGTTTCCTTGGCTAAGTTATGGGTCTACAAGAATAAGTGATAAGCTCATTAGGAAGCTATTCTTATAAATATCAAACACAAAATATACTCTGCCCAGCAAACCAATGTTAAACCAGAAAGTAAGCATGAAGTGCAGTCTACATTGAATCAAGAAAAATATTATCAATTTCTACTCTTCATAAGAAATTGTGAACAATAACTTCAATTAATTGAAAATATAAGGAAAGCAATATTCCTATGATATCCATTCAAAGAGCTATAACAAAAGAGGGGGAGGTGGGAAGACAATCAAATCCAATATTCAAGGATTACAGGACGGATTAAGTTTAAAATCTTAAAATCAAAGTGAGGTGCCATTTCCTAGAATGCCATAAAAGTAAAACTAAACGCACCATATTCAAAATAAACCACATATTTAAGCCTAAAACACAGAAAAATTCCATACCTTGTGGTCACCACCACCAGTAGCGAACCTGAGCCCTCCGGGTTGAACATCAATGGAGAAAATTTGCATGCCCTCATGCCTAACCCAACTAGGTTTCTCGGCTATCATCTTCCCCAAAAGATAAAATCACTTCTTTTACACCCAAAAAAAAAAAGTCTTTATTCCACTCTGCTTGTTGCAAATTCAAAATAAAAAACGGGGGTTGAATTTGGGGGAAGTGGCACGAGCTAAGAACTTCACCAACTATGCTCAAAACCTACGAGGTTGCTACGCAAATTGCTGCTTCTGAAACCTCCAAAGCACTGTGAAACGAATCAGTAAAAAATAAATAATAACATGTACCCATAAGAGTTTAACAATTTATTGAAAGGGGGAAAAACCTAAATTGATGAACAACCATGAAAAAGAGAAAGATTTTTTTATTTATTGTGTTTTTAAAAATATAAAAATAAAATAAAAGCTGAAAGGGCAAGGCAAGCTTTGGGGGTAAATGAGCAAAAACCCTAAATGGTGATGATGTTGGTGAAGAAGATCGAGGGGTTAACTTCCTCGTTAACGGTCAAATCTAGCTAAAATCCAATGAGTAGAAAAAAAAAATAATTTTTTTTAAGGTTAAAAGGAAAAAACAATAAGAGATTGAAAAAAGATGACTATGGTGGATTTGAATTGAAACTTACTTTTTGAGTGTGGCCTCCAAATTGTGCAGATGCTAACTGGTAACTGGTAACTGGTAAGTAGCAAGAGAGTATACAACAAAATTTTCAGCTGAAACAAATGAACATAAACACAATGTTTTTCAAAATATATGTAAGTGTGTGATGCTGTTAAAATTTGACAATACATGAGATAAGAATAAATTAAATTAATCTCAATATAAATATATTATAATGTGACGTAAAAATATTGTTGATTAAATTAAAAATTCTTATGATTAATTTTTAATTCCTAAAAGATGTTTTTTAAAAAATACAAAATGTTAGGCCGAGTTAAAACGATTAAAAAACATTAAGTTTAATTTTTAAAATTTAAATTTGTGGAAATTAATCTAACATTAGATTGATAGGATAAAATATTATGCTGAACACCTCCAATATTGTAAACTCACAAAACAAAGAGAAAGAAGACAACAATGTATTATTAGGCTTTAACATAATTTTGATAAGGCCAAAAAAGTCAAGTGATTCATAATCAGGTTATTAAATTTAATCTTATTGGCACTGCCACTAAAAGCTCAAAATCTGCCAGGACATATCTTCATCAAAAGCATTTATTAAAAAGATTTTTTTATATATATAATAACCAAGTTGACAATTTTTTTATTTTAAAAAAAAGGGACCATTTTGGCTGGGTATAAAAGTCCTTTTCTTTAATTACCGTAATTATAATTTTTTGTTCTTCTATGAACTAGCTATGCCTAGCTGTGAGTCTGTGAGACTAATTTTTAGGGTTTCTTGAAATCATCTCCACAAACATGTATTTGAGGATATACTTATTGGGTTGTTTGATATAAAAGTTGGATAAAACAAGTCATGATAATTAATTACAAGTGAATTTCATATCTCAATATAAAAATTCGTATAATTTTATTTTGAAAATAATTGAATAGTTATTTAAAATAAATTAAATAAAATGATGTATTATTTAGAAAAAATAATTGTTCTCAATTTTAGTTTTTAAAAAATAATTTTATGGCGAAACATGTGTTTGTTTTTTATATAAGTTGCCAATAAAGGTTATTCTTTAACAGTTAAACAATAATAAAAAATAAATTATGACATTCTATATACTTTTTATTTACTACCAAAAATTTAAAATATAATTTATATAATAGTAAGTTTTAATTTAAATAATCATTTTATAATATAATTACCTGTTAGATAAAAATATATAATTTGATCATACATAATATTTTTTAATTTATATATACAAATATAAATAAAAATAATTAATAAAATTATGCAGATTCACAATTTTAAATAAGAGAGTTTAGATCCATCTTTGGATAATTTAGATCTAATTTTATAAATTTAATTTAATTTTTAAAATAAATTATCAATAATTAAAAATAATCTTACATCATAAATATAAATTATTTATTATTAATACGAAATAAAATTTATTTATTAAAAAAATATTAATAAGAATTAAAAGATAATATAATTTATATATATTAAATATATTTATATAAATAGTTTATTGTAAATTTTAATTATATATAATAAATATTTAACATATATACACAGTAATGATCGAAACAAAATAGTCTCAAAGACATGTATTGAGAATCCTCTGGTTTTATAATGAACCTCAATATTATTGTGAATGAATGAATCATCATAAAAAAATAAAAATAAAAATCCAGTAACGGCAATGATTCCGATAAAAAGAAGAAAAAAATTGTCTAAGAAGATATTCCATAGGCACAAAGTAATCTAATCGAGAATTATATAAATAGATTAAATAGGGTCAAAGGGAACTTTTTCGCACTTTTCATTCATATTTTGTACACACCAACTTGATTTCTTATAAATACACAATTGAATTTCAATTCGTAGAAAAGAGAGAACCTATAAAGTATAAATATTTCATTTTGATATTCCACTTTTAAAAGAACACTAAACAAAAAAGAAATTCATTTTATAATGATATAATATTTATTATTAAAAAATATTTTTATCTATATTATAAATATAATTTATATTTGTATATTATTAAAAATATAATATAAGTTATAGTAAAATATAATATATTATTAAATTTTATTCAAAATAAATATTAAAATTGTATATAATTATATATCAAATAATTTTATACACATATATTTTATATTTATAATGATATTTGTTGTTTATGTAATATTTTTTGTAGTGTTTATGTAATACGTGGAAGAAGTTTAAAAATTACAACTTTTAAAAGAATTATATCATTTCTTCTTATTTGATTGAATCATTTAATGTAACATAAAATTTAAGAGATTAATTAATGAATTAACTTGGGATTTTATTTTATTTTATTTTGAATTACAAAGGTATCATTTATTTAATCTTTTAACTTAAAAAATTAATATAAAATAGTAAAAAATAACACTCTTAATTATTTTTTACACTAACTTTAAAAGTTAAGATAATTTGCAGTAAAAAAAATTAAGATAATGAATCAGTTTGTTTAAATTTAAAAGTAAAATTTTCTAAATAAGTATTCATAAAAATAAAAAATAAAAATAAAACTATTTAAAAGGTAGATAGAAATTGATTATTAGAAAAAGAAAATTATTTATTTAAAAAAGTTTAAATAAACACATAAAATAAATAAAAATTATTTATTTTGTTAAAAAAGTGTTTTTAGAGAAAAAAATAAATAAATAAACAGACTTGATATTTTTATTATGAAACTAAAGTTGGTAGAGTTTTAAATAAATATCTCGCTCATGAATCACAGAATTTAAACTCGTGAACATGATGACGCGTCACACGTGCGCTTCATCGTGTTATTTCTTCCACTTCACATGTCACTGTCTGGTTCGCTTCAGTTATTCCGCGGACATTCGCCACCAACAGAAAACATAGCCATTGTCATCGTATTAGTATCGTATGCTGCTAAACTATTTAAATCAAACATCACCCTTCTAAAAAAACACACCTTTTCTAGAGTAACAATTTTCCAAAGAGCATGACTCTAAATGTGTCTTTAAGGGCACTCACCAACGCTTCAACCAACCCAATTCTCAGACTTGCACGCTACCAATTTCACTCTCACACTAACCCTCTTCCGAATTCCCATGCTGTTGCCCTCAATCCATGGACCCTTCCACGGGTCACTGACCCTCGCATTGCACAACAACTGTTCGACCAAACTCCCCTTAGAGACCTCAGACAATATAACCAGTTGTTATTCGGTTATTCTCGCAATGGCCAAACCCAAGAAGCCCTCCACCTATTTTTGTCCCTTCACCGTTCCGGTTTATCCCCTGATGAGTTAACCATGTCTTCTGTTTTGAATGTCTGTGCTGGTTGCTTTGATGGGACAGTGGGTGAACAAGTGCATTGCCAGTGTGTCAAGTGTGGACTTGTGCACCATGTTAGTGTAGGGACCTCTCTTGTTGATATGTACATGAAAACGGAGAATATTGGAAATGGGAGGAGAGTTTTTGATGAAATGAGTGACAGAGATGTGGTTTCTTGGAATTCCTTGCTCGCGGGTTATTCGTTGAATGGGTTTAATGATCAGATGTGGGAATTGTTCTGTCGGATGCAAGTTGGGGGATGCAAGCCTAACTATTATACTGTTTCTACTGTAATTTCAGCTTTGGCCAATTCAGTCACGGTTGCAATGCAAATCCATGCGTTGGTTGTAAAGCTAGGTTTTGAGGCAGAAAGACTCGTGTGCAACTCTTTAATTAGTATGCTTTCAAAGTCGGGGATGTTAAAAGATGCTAGAGCTATCTTTGATAACATGGAGAACAAGGATTCAGTTTCTTGGAATAGTATGATTGCCGGACATGTGATAAATGGACAAGATTTGCAAGCTTTTGAAACGTTTAAGAGCATGCAACATGCAGGGGCTAAGCCTACACATGCGACATTTGCATCTGTTATCAAGTCATGCACCAGCCTTAAAGAATTGGGGTTGGTAAGAGTGCTGCACAGTAAGACTCTGAAAAGTGGGTTTTCCACTCACCAAAGTGTTGTAACTGCACTCATGGTAGCATTGACTAAGTGTAAGGAAATGGATGATGCCTTTAGTCTATTCTCCTTGATGCATGGGGGACAAGGTGTGGTTTCATGGACTGCTATGATCAGTGGGTACTTACAGAATGGTGGCACTGATCAGGCTGTGAATTTGTTTTCCCAAATGAGGAGGGAAGGTGTCAAACCAAACCATTTCACTTATTCTTCCATCCTTACAGTGCAACATGCTGTTTTCATTTCTGAAATACATGCAGAAGTTATCAAAACTAATTATGATAAGTCGTCTTCAGTGGGAACTGCACTTTTAGATGCTTATGTTAAGCTAGGAAATGTTAATGATGCTGTTAAAGTTTTTGATCTAATTGAAGCCAAGGACGTAATAGCCTGGTCTGCAATGCTTGCAGGATATGCGCAAGCAGGAGAAACAGAAGAAGCTGCTAAAATCTTCCACCGATTAACAAGGGAGGGGATTAAACCAAATGAATTTACCTTTAGCAGCATCATCAATGCCTGTACTGCTCCTACGGCGTCAGTAGAGCAGGGAAAACAATTTCATGCCTATGCAATTAAACTGAGATTGAATAATGCTCTGTGTGTAAGTAGTTCTCTTGTTACCATGTATGCAAAGAGAGGCAACATTGATAGTGCACATGAAGTTTTCAAAAGGCAGAAGGAGAGGGACTTGGTTTCTTGGAACTCAATGATCTCCGGATATGCACAGCATGGCCAGGCAAAGAGAGCATTAGAGATATTTGAAGAAATGCAAAAACAAAACATGGAAGTGGATGGTATTACATTCATTGGTGTCATTTCTGCCTGCACTCATGCTGGCCTAGTGGAAAAAGGTCAAAACTACTTTGATGTAATGATCAATGATCATCACATTAATCCAACAATGGAGCACTTCTCATGTATGATTGATTTATATAGCCGCGCAGGGATGCTGGGGAAAGCCATGGATATCATAAATGGGATGCCATTTCCCCCTGCTGCAACTGTGTGGCGCAGTGTCTTGGCAGCTTCTCGAGTACACCGCGATATAGAGCTTGGTAAACTTGCAGCTGAAAAAATTATTTCACTTGAGCCACAAGACTCGGCTGCATATGTCCTGTTATCCAATATGTATGCTGCAGCTGGAAACTGGCAAGAGAAAGTCGATGTGAGAAAACTAATGGACAAGAGAAAAGTGAAAAAAGAACCGGGCTACAGTTGGATTGAGGTGAAAAACAAGACGTACTCATTCTTGGCAGGCGATTTGTCACATCCTTTGTCAGACCATATTTACGCAAAACTTTCAGAGTTAAATATTCGGTTGAGGGATGCAGGTTATCAGCCTGATACAAATTATGTGTTTCATGATATTGAAGATGAACAAAAAGAAACTATTCTTTCTCATCATAGTGAAAGGCTTGCCATTGCCTTCGGCTTAATTGCTACACTTCCTGAAATTCCCATCCAGGTTGTGAAAAATCTTAGAGTTTGTGGAGATTGCCACAGCTTTATTAAGTTAGTATCACTCATTGAACAGAGATATATTGTTGTTAGAGACTCAAACCGATTTCACCACTTTAAAGGTGGTTTGTGCTCATGTGGGGACTACTGGTGATGTTTGGACTACATAAGATTCTTTAGTAGATCAGACTATTGTTTTCCACAGAATCCATCAACCCTCCAATCCAAGGCATAAATTCTCATGGAAGCTTTAAGGAAAGAGTGTCATAAAAATTGAAATCTTAAATACATCATAACATCAAGGCTCTTTATGGATACTTTAAAGTTTTATGGCAGTGAGTATGATGATATAGGTACTGCACTCTTGGATTGACCACTGTAGATATTATTCAACTTAGAAAGAATGATCGATCAACAGAAAGTTTCAGAAAATATACATTTAACATTTCCATGGCAAATTGTTGATAGGATTGCTAAAATTTGCTGGCTGATTCCAGGAATGCTGAAAGTCTGCCAATTTTGCTGCTGGACTGGTTACGGGCTATGATTAGTTTAGCTATTTGCTGAACTGGCCCAGAAAACAGAAAATGTTTATGGCCAATAACTCCTTTTCCCTTGATCAGTTGTTACTTATTCATTAACTTTTTGAAGTCTAAAGTAATAAAAAATTCATTCTTCGATTCTTTTACACATGTGAGTGCCTTCTCTCTCACACATGTGCATACTATTCTCCCGTGAAAAATCTTATTTGTTAATAAATGATTTTTATTTTTAAACTAAATTATACTTTTGATCTTTTATTTTATTTTTTAAATTCATATTTAAAAACTATAGTTTCAAATTATTTTTACCTTTCAAATCAGTCAAAATTGATTTAAAATTATATCTTAAAATTAAAAAGTATTATTGTTTAAAAAAAACTAAACCAATCTAAATATATAAAAAAAAACTATAAAAGTGAATTAAAAAAATAAAGGAAAAAATTATTATTTTATTTTATTTTTAAATAAAAACACTGGAACGAATGTTAGTTGAAGAGTTTGTAGGGGATACATATAAGTTTTAATTTGGACCCCACCATTTTTGGTACTGGGTCTGTGATAAGTTAAAGTCTCTACTTATTCTTTTTCGTAATCGTTTCTTTCGTAAGAAATAGCAAAAGTCCAATTAATTTAAAAATCAACCATTCCTAGCTTTCGTGCGTTTAACTTTCATAATCTCTGATACAGAAAAAATCAGTAACCAAATCACACACTACAAGTTCTCTCTCACGCATTCCCCTCCCTTTGCTTACAATCAGACTTCAGAAAACCTACGGGGTCAGGACCGTTCGGTCAAGCCATTCAAGGGTGATGATGTTATTTGCACCAACCTTTGTTACTCTTCGCACCACTTATTGTCTCTCTTTTTAACATTACGATATTTCCAAAATATCTTCCCCTCTTTTTCACTAGGATGAAGATTCTTAGAGAAGCCTTGTTGTAGACACCTTGAGAGATATAAGAAGAGAAGAAAAATAAGTGATTAATATGATTGATAATGTAATATGTTAAAAAAAATAAAATAGGAAGAGAGAAATGTTGAATGTTACTTGACTATTTAAAAATATAAAGAATTCCAAAAAATAAAAATCCTTTTCACTAAAACATTCTTCTCAATATCCATCCCTGCATCCCCTCACCTGACTGATCTCCTTTCATGTCACATCACATTAGTGTTTTATAAAGGGTATGTGACAGTGTTTTATGGAGTTTGACTGTTTGTATAGATCTGAATCTACGTTTTACATTCTTCACTAAATTCGTGTTAAAAACATCAAAATGTCAGAGAAGTAAATATTCTTAGCTTTAATTGGATCTACCTAATATTACACATGACGATTCACTTTTTTCACTAAACTCACATTAAAAACATCAAAATGTACGTCTTATTAGACATGACGATTCACATTTTTCACTAAATTCATGTTAGAAACATCAAATTGTAGGAGAAGTAAATATTCTTAGCTTTGATTTGATCCACTTCACATTAGACGTGACGCAAAAGCAAACATGCCCTGAATGTGAATTTCCCACCTGTGCGAATTGATTATAAAGTAGTTGTGCACTGTACAAAGGTAAATTAGTTCGATGTTATGTGTTGAAATTTTTCTTAAGTTGTGAAAGATGAATTTTTATTAGTTTACACTACTCAATATGATTTGCCGAATTAGATTAGAAGAATGGGGCAGAATGAGATAACCTGAATTCGTTATTGTCATGGAAGCAAATAAGAGGAAGGTTCATAAAAATAAACCCACAAGACACTGCTTTAAAACCATTTCCTTTCGAAATAGAAGAACATTTCCAAGGTCAAGAAACACACCAAACTGCTACCAATAACAATAACTATAAAAGAAAAAGGCATTTGGAAGGTCACAAAGTAGACTTTATCATGGTGGTAAAACCAAGCTCTCATGGTAACTCTGCATATCGAAGCCCTTAATCCTAACACAATCCGACCTACCATCATTAGAGTTATACAAAATCAACTTAGTAAAGGAAATAATGAAGAGAGCAATGCCATTTTCCGAAACACACAAAGGGTCAAGTGATGGCAACCATCCATCACCACAAGTGCACCACTCAGTGTAAGGCATCACCAAAGCCTTTTCACCTTCAACAAAGCCAGGAATAGTCATCAACTTAGTCCACGAATCTCTAACCCCATACTCTCTCATCAGCCACACAGCCCAATTGTTCTTTTCAGAGTCAAAGTAAAAAACACAAACACAGCCTCGCACAATATCAATCATAGGCTTCCAAATGCTCCGAATGTTCCCAGCAGGCAGAAGCACTTCACTGCATTTCAAAGTCCCCAAATCAAACGAAAGAATCACTTTTTTATCATCACTTTCACCTCTATTAGGCTTAGCTACCCAATTAAGAGTGCCACTCACAAATTTCCCTTTCAAGGTGGTGGGACAGTAGGGGAAATTGGGAATATTGTTCCAATATTTTGCACCACCAAATGTGAGTATATTTGCCCTAGCTTTACCACGATCCCGCACTATTATCAGCAACTTGTACTTGTCATTCACGTGGTCATAGCCAAAACCATGGTGAGCAATACTATTGGTATTATTACTCACTGAAGGTATAAACTTTTTGATTGAAACCCTTTCGGATATGAACCTGATGGAAGGGTTCCACAATCTGACGTAACTTTGGTGAACATCGGACAAACATAGTATTCCGTTGCAGGAACCTAGGATGCGGTAATCGCGGTTCATGGCGAAGCAATGGGGTTCGATTAGGGTTGAGGGGTTTTGGAAGAGTGACTGAACTGAGCAAGATGTGATTTTGCTGCGGCCGATTAGGGTTGAGACTAATCGCTGGTTGGCCATGGTTGGATCGGCGATTGAGGTGCGAAGGTGGTCCTTCGCGAATTGGGGGTGGGAGATTAGGGTTTTCCATGCTTTGCAGACGCAGCGGAATTGCAGAAGGGATCTCACCGGAACCCTACGGAGGATCTCGGAAATCAGTTCTTCCGGCAACGGAGGGGATCCCTCGTCGGTTGGAGAAACAAGTTGGGGGCTCTTCGCGGCGGCTTCCGCCATCAGTTTAGTACCAAGGATGCACTCTTTCAGAGTTGCTGAAGGCAATTCTCGGATTTTCTTGACAAATTAAAAAGTTAAGAACACTTCTAAAACTGAAACCAATAAAATCGTTTTTATAATATAAAAGTATGAAATTTTTAAAAATTATAAATAAAATAAAAAAATTTAAATATATTTTTAATCACTCAAATTTAAGATAAATTTAGTTTTAATCTTTCAAATTTAAAATCGATCTTTTTAGTCTTATAATTTAAAAAAAAAAA